AATTAAATAAATTAAATTTATTGAAAATTATAAATATAATGAACTAATCGATAACTAATATAATAAATATATACACGAAAAATTTATTATTTTATATTTTACATCATTTTCAATAGAAAAAACTATTTATATATTTTACTAAAAATATATTATTTTTTAAATCTAACTGTAATAAAAATAAATATTTTTATAACATTTTTACAATTTTAAATAAATAATAACAAAAAAAAATTTACCATTCTAAACTCAAAAGAACATAATTGAATATATTAGAAACAAAAATAAAATAGAAAAATTCTCAATTGTTATTTTACGTAGAAACAGTTAATATCAAACAGTTGTTTTACCAAATATTTTAATACAAACAGCTAATCAAATCAACCAGTCAAACCAGCTAATTGAATCAGCTAACAACTATCGGCTAATTGAATCAGCTAACAGTTAACAGCTATCAGTTAATTGCCAAACACGCACTAAGTATGTTTAAAATTGATAAATTTATCAAAAATAGAAATGAGTGATCTTTTGTGAAATGTACCAAAAAAAAAATATGATCATTTGTGACGGAACCAAAAAGAAATATTATTAAAATATAATATTTATTAAGTTTATGCAAAAACTAAATATTGACTTTCTAAGCGGATATATGAAGTAGATTTTTATAAAAAATATTCTCTGTCCGTCCGAATAAAAGATATTTATTTTGTCATTTTTTTTTTTTGTCTAAGTAAAAAATATTTGTTATCCTTTTTAAATAAAATGCATCTCAATTAAATACTAAAATACTTCCTTCGTCTCATGATAATTGAACCCTTTTATTAGAGATTCAATATTTAAGATAAAAATGTTTAATTAGTTAATAATAATAAGTTATAATATTATTTTATTAATTTTTATGTAATTAATAATATTAATAGTTTTAAAGTATTTAATAGATATGATTAAAAAATTAAAATATATATTTAAATATTTTAAAATTTATATAACAATAAAAAATATATATGCAATATGAATATCAATTTATAGAGAATAAAATTTTCTATAATACAAGTAAATAAAAAATAATAATTTTATTTATTTATAATTTATATAAATTAATTTTATAAAAGATATAGAGTTTTAAATATAGATAAAAATATTTATTTTTACATTATGTATCGATTTATATTATACACGTGTGTTGTATTAATATACCCTTTGTAATGAGATCAATGTAATATATTTTTTTATTATTATAATGTGCTCTTAATTTATATATTATATTTATAACTTATTAATAGCATATTAATATTAATATGTTATATTTTATTTTATTCATTATAAATAGACATATATATATTATTTTATTATTAATTATTTTAGCATATATTTTTTTAAGAATTTATCACATGATAAATTTAATATTAATTGTTGATTAGTCTTAAGAATATTTGTATCATTTTACAAAATATTTGTCAATATAATTAATTATTTGTTTAATATTATTTCAACAATTTATACAAATCGTGCATCGCACGATTTTACGTGCTATTAATTTATATTTATTATATATAAATGTGTTTTATTTATATTATATTTCTTTTCTTTTTTTTCAATTCAATAATTCTATTTTATTTAGTTTTATCCGTTTAAAAAGAATAATCTTATTACGATAAGTAATCATATCATTATAATATTATTTTTAAAAAATAATATATTAAATATTAAAAATTTTACCTTTTTTTAAAAAAAAATTAAATTAAAATTTGAAAAATTAAATTAAATTTGAAAAAAAAAATTAAATTAAAATTTGAAAATTTTGAAAGGCCAAATTTAATCGACCCTTTTGTGACGGTGCCTTCATTTATTTAGCCCATTAACTTGTAATTAATGCCCACTATCTCAAACCTACCACACCATGTCAATTATTTTTATGAAGTCATATAAATAGGTATTATATGATATTTAAATATAAAATTAAATTTTTGTATGATATAAAAAGTAAAAAATAAATATTCTCTAATATTCTCTCAATCCCATTGAAATGTTACGAATTTCTATTTTCGTCCGTCTCAAAATAAGGTTATCATTTACTAATTTAATAATTATATTAACTACCTAACATAATAAATATCCTTTCAACTTACATTATATTACACAAATATCATTACTTTTATATTACACTGTACTAATAGGATATTTTTGTCTTTTTCACTACAGTCCAATATAATACTAATATTAAAATATTTACTTGAAAAAAAGCAAATGACACCCTTCCAATGGGACGGAGAGAGCACTATTTTTGTCCTGTAACTATTTATCTATTTTATTTTTTAATATTGAATTTTAAATATTAATATTATATTATACATAGTACAAATTAAGAAAAAATAAATATTTTTATTAGTGTTATATAAGGGTGGACACGGTTCAGGTATTTGCAAATATGCAGATATTTGATATTCGAACCAAATCGAATAAATATCCGGAACCGCAAATCGTATCCAAATCGAATTTTCGGTTAACAAAAAATATTTGCAATTTTGGAAATAATTTGAACCGAACCGAAAATTTTAAAAAATATATATATTAAAAAATAGTTAAAATTCTAATTAAATCAATATATTTGCAGATATTTCAAATATTCGAATCGAAACTGAACCAAATATAATTATTAATATAAATTTTAAATATAATAATATAAAATATAAATATATTTGGTTCGGTTCGGTTCGGTTAGCCGAACCGAAAAATATATCAAAAACCAAAATCGAACTGAACAAATATCAAATATGCAGTATTTGTGTTCGAACCGAATTTTTCGATTAACCGAGAATTCGGTTCAGTTCACCGGTTCGGTTTGATTTTTTTGCCTACCCCTAGTTTTATATAATAAAAATGTAATATAACAATTGTATAAAATATTATACAAATATAAGAATATTTGGATACCTTGTTAAGGGACATAGAAAATATTTGATTTAATATTTTTAAAAAATATTTTTAATAAATATTAAAAATTTAAGTAAAAACCTCAAAAGAACAGTGTGTTTAATTAGTATTTTAAAATATAGTACAATATTTAAAAAATAGTCCCTCAATTCAATTTTAATTGACACTTTTGGTTTATGATATGATATTTAATATAATAAAGTGTAATGGATTAATAATAGTAAATTATAATATTAGTTTATTTAACTTTTTTATATGAGTAATGGTGTTGAAATTTTTAAAATAAAAATTAATACTCCTCTGCCCCATAACTATATTCTGAATTGTGTTTGTCACGTGATTTAATGAATATTGATATTATATTAGTAATAGATAAAAAGTACGGTAAAAGATATTTTTGCCCTTACGAGTGTATTAGTGTAAAAAATAGTGATGATTGTGTAATAATAAAGTAAGGGTAGTTTTATAGTGATATGGTTATTTATGGAATGTGACTATTGTTTTGGAATGAACAAAAATAGTAAACAAGACTACTGTATTAGAACGGAGAGAGTACTATATAATTAAAAAATTTTAAAATATGTGTTCAACGGATGCATGTATATCAGACACATAAAAAAAAAAAAGAAACAGTTTTTCTGTTTATTTCGAGTGTAGTGTAAATATTTTTGCTATATAAATTTTATGATATTTTGCAGAACATTATAACTAAATTATCGTTTAAATTAAAATTTAAAATTAAAAGATAATACTAAATTTTAAATAAACAAATTCTATTTAGTTACATATTTCTACAATTATCAATAAAATATTTATTTATATATTTATTATTTTTATAAAATACTATTAAATAAATAAAAAAATTATCTAAAAATAACAAAAAAACCAGACACACTATGCGTGTTTTCTTTTAACATTTTATATTCACGTATTTTCTAAAAATATAAATATACTATATATATTTATTATTTTTATATTTTTTTACATAATTCTTCGTATTTTACGTAGAAAAAACACTCATTCAAATTATCTTACAAAACAAACACACTCACCTCAAAACAAATACTCCCCGGTCATTTAAATTTATTATCATTTTTCTTTTCTTATTGTCATCCAAATTTATTCTCGTTTTATTTTTTAATAAAAAAATACTAATTTTTTTTACCAAAAAAAAGTAAAAATTTCTAATTTTAAATATTTTTTTTAAAATTCGTGTTCAGTTAAATTAGCAAACAATTGGACGACGGAGGAAGTACTAAATAACCATAAAAAAGAACAAGTGACGTATATCTATTCCATTTCATTTGAAAAGCGTATTGCCTTTTTGTACTCAGTCTAATTTATTGTGTTTGTATGTCAAAGTTTTCAAAATTTATATTATTTATCAATATTTTTTCTTAAAAATATTAAATTAAATAGCTACTTTATTTATTATTATACTATAAAATAATTTTCTATTCAAAATATACATATATTTGATTTGCATTTCAAATATAAATTAATATTATTTAATTTTTATAATTTTCAATAAAAATATCCAAGTTCTTGTAATAAATTATTATATTAAAATATTATTTAAATAAAATATAAAAATTTAGAAATAAAATAGTATATACCATTTTTTTACGTAATAAATGTGATAAAAATCTATAAAATATTACACAAAATTTTGAAAAATTTATTAGCATTAGTTTGCCGAGTTGTGTTTTATAGGAGTTTTTACAATTTTTTTTTTTTATTATTGATTTTTTTAAAAAGAAAATATATTATCAAATTAAATATTTATTTTTTATTTTTCATATTAAATTAAAAATAATTTTAAATTCAAAACATCTATTTATATCATATGAATTTTTTTCCAATCTTTTAAGTTTTGTATATATTATTTTATTAAAAAGATCAAATTTGATTCTAAGGAATAAATATGATTCGATAGATATGATTTGAAACTGTATAATCTTAATTATCTTTCTATCCATAACTAATAAATCATATCCTTAATTTTCTATATATACACAAAGGAAAAAGGGAAGTTTATTAAAAATATTATTAACACATAAGGTTCTTTAATGTCGATTTCTTCTTCAACTATCATGGATATAGAAACATCTCTTACGACTGCCATAGATAAAGAGACATTCAGAATTCTAAGAAGCTCTGATGGGAAAGAATTCAACGTCTCCAAATCCATCGTTATGCAATCATCGCTCCTTGCAAATTTACTCGATTTAGAAAAAGATGACATAATTTCACTCCCTAAAGAAGAAGGCAAAATCGACGTAATCCCACTCCCTGAAGTCGACGGAATAACCCTCGAAAGGGTAATTGGTTTTCTGAAGATATACTTAGAAGAATCGTTTCAACAATTCAACGATGAAGAAAAGAAAAAACAATGCGATGATTTCTTTGTTAAATTTAATATCTATGATTTCCTTGCCCTTGCCTCTGCCGCAAATTATTTGGGAGTTCAAGTGGTTCTAGACGAGGCTTGTCAGAGATCAGCCGACTTAATGAAGAACAAAAGTGTGCCATGAGTGAGAAAAGTTTTTCAGATAGATAATGATTTGACGCCCTACGAGGAACAAGATATTAAGAGTAAAAATATATGGACGTACGAGGGCCTCGATCCAGATGATTGAAGAAGAAGTAAAACGATGATTGCTTTTAATTGATATTAGTTAGAATGGATTATTAAGAGTTTTCTTAAAGTTTTGTTTGTTTAATTTTTTGTTTTTCAAATTTTGTTTAATTAAAAATATTTTTTGATATTTATTTGAATATCTGTTGAAAAAAATATTTTATATTTTGATTTCTATATTTTTGTTTGCATACGAATCTTCCCACAAGCAGGTCTGCGTCGGACATCAACATAATAATAATAATAATAATAATAATAATAATAATAATAATAATAATAATAATGATATTCTACAGTCCAAATAAAATATTATTGTAGAAATTAAGAAAGAAAAAAAATAAAATAAGAATACAAAAATTTGTTCATCGAATTCGATGAAGATAATCTTCTATTGGGGCCACGGATCTCCCTCGTTTTAAATATAGCATAAAATTTCGGTACAAAAATTTAAGTGGACAGTAATATACTCCCTTTCCTCGTTCCAATATAATAGTCTTGTTTACCATTTTTATCCGTCTTAAAATAATAGTCTCGTTTTCATAAATAACTATATCAGATAAAACTATTCTTACTTTTTTATTATTACAGAATTGCCACTACTTTTTATACTCACAAGGGCAAAAAAGTCATTTATCTTTATTTTTTACCAAATACAATATTTATTAAATCTCGTATTCAACACAAGACTATACTTTTGGGGACAAAGGGAGTATAATAATTTGAATATCAAGAAATTTGATGGAAATAAAATATATATGCAATATGAATATCAATTTATAGAGAATAAAATTTTCTATAATACAAGTAAATAAAAAATAATAATTTTATTTATTTATAATTTACATAAATTAATTTTATAAAAGATGTGGAGTTTTAAATATAGATAAAAATATTTATTTTTTAAAGAGAAATATAAATAAAAGGATTTTGAATGAGTCCTAAGTATTTATGATGTTATATGTCATGTAGTTAATTAAATCAATTTATATTTGTTAAATATATTTTGATTTAGTAAAAATTTTATCCAAAATAAAAATGTGTCTATTATTATAGAACAGACAAAAATAAAAATGATGTCAATTATGATGGGACGAAAAAAATATTAGTTACGGTATTCTTTTAGTCTCACTAATGTTAAGTAAAATAAACTTTACATTACTCCATTATAGTACATATGTATAAAAATATTAATATACCTAAATTCGCATGCAAAAGTCAAATAAATATATTTAACTTGAACCGAATAAAAATTATGTAACCCAAAAATACCAACAGAACACACCCAATATATAACACAAAAGAAAAAAAGATAAATTATATAATACTTTCTTGTGTTGTTAGTAAAAATACATAAAATATGCTGTGTTTTATTTATTGTGTGAAACTCTTTTGGGTTAACGTAAACTTTGCACAAAACACCTTCTTTGTCCAAAACTGATATTTGATTTTAAATAAAAATGCAAGTTTAATACAAATAGAAAAAACAAAATATCTTAAATAAATTTTTTGAATAAAATAAATAAATATATAAATAATATATTAATCCTTTATATAGTTTTTGAAATCAAATTGTTATATGATTTTTATAAAAACTACAAATATAAATGATTGATCAATTATTTATTTATTTATTTTATTCAAAAAAAATTATTTAATTTTTTTTTTTTATTTGTATAAAATTTGCGTAATTTAAATCTTTATTTAGAACTAAATATCAGTTCGGACAAGAGAGTATTTAGTGTAAACTTTACATTAATATAAAGAGATTTTACACAATAAATAAAATACAAAATATATTTTACATTTTTAGTAAAACACATGAGGATATTATATAATTTAGCCCAGAAAAAAAGAAACAACAAAAGCCATGATCGAATGAATTTTACCTTCTTTTAACCGTTCGTTTAATTTATCGAACGAGCTCTCAATCGAAAACCAATTTCACCATTGATCCATGCAAGAACACTCGCCACGAGCAAAGCAATGAAAGCCCGAAGCATCTCTTACCTCGATCACCCTTCTCGTAACAATTGAAACATATTTGAAGAACGTATGACAATCCCCACACAGATGAACATTCTTCATCACCCGAATCGCCGCCGTCGTCGTCGTTGTCGTCGTCGCGGTCACCGCCGTCAGCAGTCCGTACGTAACGGCTAGTTTCGCGCTGTGGTACCTCAAGAAATTCGGCTTCTGATGTTCCTCGACCTCATGCAACACGAAGCTCGTATCGGGTCTGTACCCGGCCTTCAGACATTCCAAAAATAGTACATCGAGCGCGCCGTAAATGTCCCTCGATCGCGGGTGAGACTTGTCCCGAGCGTAGAATGTCTGAACCTTGTCCCGATCTATGATCCAGCTCCGGACGGGGAATTTCCGGAAGCCCCGCGATTTCATCTCCGCTCTTACATTGTCCGAACAATGCCACCTCCCGGAAGCCGAGTAGAGATTCGATTGAAGGATATACGTTGACGGATCTCGCGGCTCGACGCTTAGAATCTCCTTCGCCGCCCGTCTCCCGATTTCGGCTTTCTTGTGTATTCGACAGCTGTTGAGTAAAGCCCTCCAAACAGCAGCCGTCGGTTCGACCGGCATTTTCTCGATCACTTCCTCGGCTTCTTCAAGAAAGCCCCAGAAACCCAAAACGCTAACGAAGCCGGCGAAATGATCCGAACTCGGGTCGATGCGATAAACGGGTTTCATCGAGAGGAAGAAATCGCGGCAAGAATTAACCGACTCCGCGCTCGTGTGTCGATACGCCGAAAGAATTAAACCGCAGGTAATCGTATTCGGTTCGACTCGTCGTTTCCGCATCTTGTCCCATACGGTAAGCGCGTCGTCGCCTCGTCGATTAACGATATGTCCTGCCAATAAACTGTTCCACGAAACGACGTCGTGCGCGGCCATACTTTCAAACGTCTTCGTAGCTTCTTCGACGCCGCCGCACTTCGAATACATGCTGATTACGCCGTTTCCGACGCCAACGGCGGCGAACAATCCGCGTTTTATAGCGAACGAATGAAGCTGTTCGCCGAGTTTCTGGAACCCCAAATCGCCGCATACTCCGAGTATCGAAGCCAACGCAACCTCGTCAATTTCGGTATACTGCAAATCGCAAATTAACGAAACCGCTTTATCTAACTCCGCATTCCGCGCGTAGCCACAAATCATCGTCGTCACCGTAACGGGACTGATTGGAAGTCGATCGAAAATCCTCTCGGCATCACCCATTCGATTACATCTCGTGCACATGTCGAGCAACGCCGATTCAATACACTCGTTCCTTCCGAAATCGATCTTTAGAACAAACGCGTGGATCTGTTCGCTAGCACACTTCCGTCTCGTAATCCCGCAAGCATGTAAAACGGTCGTCAATGTAACATCGGTTAGCTCCACGCCTGCCCGAACCAATCGGTTAAACAATCTCAACACTGTCAAACCTTCACGATTACGGCAAAATCCAGACAACAGCGCGTCGTAGGAAACGCAATTCTTTTCAGGCATCCGATTGAAAACCTCGACAGCCGAATCGACGTGCCCGAATCCCATATAGGCGCTGATCATTTCGGTCCAAGAAAAAACATCGCGCATCGGCATTCTACCGAACAAAGCCTCGACATCTTCCACATTGCCACATTTCGCGTAAAACTCAATCAGCGCATTCGCGACGCTCAAATGGCTGCCGTAACCGGATTTATGCGCGTAGGCGTGAATCGCCGATCCTTCTTTCTCGGCGTAACACTTCGTGCACGCGACCAAGAGGCTCGACAACGTAAAATAATCGAACATTGAATCCTCCTCCTCTACGAGCAAATCATGAAACAGCTCTAATACTCTTCGATACAATCCTTCCTTATTCATAAATGAAATCACAGTATTCCATGAAGCAATGTCTCTTTCAGGCATTTCGTCGAACAGGTTAACGACACAATCTAAGGAGTTACAGTTACCGTAGAATGCCATGAGAGAATTGGCCACAAAAGTGCAATCAACAAATCCAGTTTTAACAGTGAAGGCGTGAATTTGGGAACCGAATTCGAAATCAAGTAAACGAACGCAAGCAGTGAGCAAGGCGACGAAAGTGTACCCGTTAGGTTCGATTCCCAAATTTCTCATCTGGAAGAAGAGCTCCACAGCTTCATCCTCGCGGCCCGATTTTGCGAGACCGGAAATCATCGCAGTGTAAGAGACGACGTCAGGGGATAAAATGGAGCTGAAAACTCTCTCGGCGTAATTCAGGTTATCGAGGCGGATGTAGGACGTGATTAGGGAATTGAATAAGCGGATGTCCGGCTGGATTTTGAGAATCGAAGCGTGTATAGCTTTGTTGAGGCGAACATCGGAGCAGTCGGTGGATAGCTGAAGAAATTCTGAGAAATCGCGGTTTGTGCGAGGAGGGGAGGCTTCATTGTGGGGAGATGGAGCCTTGGAGAGTGGAGTTGAGGGGTTTGGAAGATGGAGGGTTTTGGGGGAGGAGAGAGGAGGAGAGGGTTTAGAGTGAGAGAGAGATGAAATTGAATGCGATGTAGCGAACGACTTCAAAGGGCGGCGGGAATGAGCGGAGGCGGTGGCGGTGGCGGAGTTGTGGCAGTGGTGGATAAGAGCCGCCATTAAAGTGAGGCGCCAAGCTTACCTCCACAGTTGGAGCACTGTGTTTTATTGTGGTTTGACAAAATTTTTTTAACTAATTAACATTTTTTATTTATATGTTACTATCACATAGTTTTTTTCTTTTTTTTTTTTTTTTTTCATTTATACTGATTATATAAAAACTCTTACTATATTTTTTGACATAAAAAATTTGAAAAAGTTACTTAATGAATTTTAAGCTTAAGTGAATTTACGTGAGACTTATGAGGTATAAATTTTTCTTATACGATATTATGGAGTGCAAATCAGCTTTGGATTGAGTTCACGGATTTGTTTTTGAATTTATTCTAAAAATGCTTTATACTAGTAGAGTTCATGTGAAATTTATAAAATGTGATTTTTTTTTTTAATATTTTAATGTAAAACTTGAATTTGTATCTCCAATAAGCTATTGTTCGTTGCTTTTGAGGACGTAAAGGCTCAATATGCCATACAAATATTTTATTTTTTTTGTAGTATTCGCATTATTTTAGAATTTAATTATTATTATTACGAAAAAAATTACTTTCATCGTCTAAATATATTTTTATTCTCAAAATATCAAATTGGAATTTTGACGGTTTCAATTTTTATAATTTTAATTATGTTATATATATTTTGAAAATTTATATATATTATTAAAAACTAAGATAAATAGCCCAACAAATTAAATTTTTAGTTCCGTCACTGTATATTTAGGTGGACGTATTATCAGTTATGCTCTAAATTACTCTAATTTTCTTTAGGATTGACCTTAACAATTACGAACATATGTAAATTTCATCGCTACTATTGATGAATTATTCATTACACTACACCATCATAGTAACACATAAGCATTACAACATGGTAAATGCGCGAAACAATGTTTTGCGCTATTTTCAAAGAACATATAAAAGATTTCGACAGTGCGTCATTATTACTCGGTGGTCACCGCATTGTAACAACGGGTGACATTCGATTATTGTCTCGGACAAGGCCTAGCCTTGTCTACCAGAAGTTTCCCGTCTTCATCGACATCAAGATTTCGGAAGCAAAGCAGCCGCGCCCTTTACAATTTTGGTAGCAGTTTTTCCTGACTCCTTTATAACATCGGAGGCAGAATTTCCGGATTCCTTTACAACCTTGGATGCAGCGTGGCCAGTTGCATTCATAAACTTGACAGCAACATTGTCTGTCTCGATTTTAACCGGGAACCCGATGTTCTTTACATTCTCGTAAAGCTTCCCCTTCTCGGCCTCGTTGGCTTCGACGCCGACGCTTACGGACCCTTGGAAGTCTCCCTGGACAAGACAGGCAGTGTGTGTTTTAGGACATAAAAAATCGATACAGACATGTACGAGGTTTCGGATAGGAGGGTACGGTTCGGATATTTGCAAATACGTAGGTATTTAATATCAAAATCGAATCGAACCGAACAAATATCTGAAATCGTGAACTGTATTCGAACCGAAAATTCGATTAACCGAAAATATTTGCAAATACTTTGAACCAAACCGAAATTAAAAAATATATATATTAAAAATTAATTAAAATTCTAATTAAAAAAAAATATTTTAAATATTCGAACCGAAATAAAAAATATATATAAAAAAACAATTAAAATTCTAACTAAATAAAAATATTTGCAAATATTTTAAATATCCAAACCGAAATCAAACAGAAATCGAACCAAATATAATTATTAATATAAATTTTAAAATATAATAATATAAATATATTCTGTTCGGTAACCGAACCAAAAAAAATATCAAAAATCGAAACCAAACCGAGCCAAACAAATATCAAATATGCAGTATTTGTATTCGAACCAAATTTGCTCGGTTAACCAAAAATTCGGTTCGGTTCGGGTGTTCGGTTCGATTTTTTTGCTCACCCTAGTTTCAGATATGGATAGATACCTTCGACCGGTATTGCAACCAGCTTATGTTCGATTGCGCCGGGAATGCGCCGAGCAATTTAGATAGAGTGCCGCTCCGGTCGGGTATAACGAACTGGAAAATTTGTTCGTCTTTAACCGCCGCCCGCCCGCCGACCTGCCGAGGCGATGCAAGAAGAGACCCATGAATAACAATGTGCTACCGTTACTCTGATTAATTTTGTAATTCAGTATAGTGCTGACAACATATCATATTATCATAGAAAGTACATAATATGATAGTAGAAAATACACAATTTATATTAATATAAGTGAATTAACAATACATATTATCTTCTTTTTTTTTTTCAACATCATTTTTGAATTGTGATTCTTTAAAAAAAATAATAGTAAAAATATAAAATATTTTATACAAAAGTTAAAAAATCAAACAAACTTCAAATACTTATTACAAAAAATAAAAATGTAAAACAAAACTTCAAATACTTAAATATTCAACTTAAAATAATATATTTATATTTTTTTATACAATTCTCTATATTACACATAAAAAATTATTTCATCTAAAAATATTTGGTGAAAAGTTATATTTTCGCATAACACACCATTTAAATATGAACAAAAAACATATGCTCCTTCCATTCAGATTCAAAGTACTCATTTGTTCTTTTAGTAGATTAAGAAATAATAGTAATATTTTATTGCTATGTAAAATGATATTAACATTTTTGCCTTTTACAAGTATAAAGGCAAAAACCATATATATATATTTTGTAAAAGTTCAATCTTTGTATTTATATATAAATTATTTTTATTATAATAAAAAAATAAATATTTTTAGTTGAAAGACAAAAAATAGTTAAAATAATAAATTGAATTGAGACGAAAATATATTTTTTTATGTGCTAACCGGTGAATTTAAATTTTTTAAAATTGATTGTGAATTTCAAATCTATTTTTTAAAAATATTTTTTATATTTTTTATATTATACACTTCAAAATACTTACTACAATCAAATGATAAATTTTAATTACGAAGTATTTTAAATTCGAGTTGATTCATTTAAAATCTATTTTAAAATTCAAATTCATCCAACAAAACAATAATTATTTATTTATTTATTTATTTATTTATTTTTTTTTGATTCTTCGAAACATTTTTCAAATCAGCACGGTATCCATCCGACCCATCCAACCCAACGTAAGAAAAATGTAATCAAGAAATAAACACACTGTGATTCTTACCATATGGCCCAAATGGTCTTTGGCAAATTGATTATTGTCGAGCAAAACTGTTGGCAAATTAGATTTCGACAATTTGTCAACAACCTCAGAAAGCTTTTCTTCTGACATATCATCCAAACTGAAATAAACAGACAGTGAAAAATGGCATGAACAATGGCAATATTCACGCAATAAAATAAAGTAATATAACAGATATTTTTGTCTTTTGTTTCTTGGTATAAAAATAATGATACGATGTAAAGTGAAGGTATTTATGAAAAAAAAAATTAGGTATTTAATGAAATTATTAATTTGTAATTGGACATTTTAAAATAAAAATAAAAATATATATACTTTCTGGCTGGACATGGAGTATGATGCAAAATTTTTAAATTACAAGGGAATTATAAGTAATTTTGCTTAAAATATTACTTTCTCCGTCCATCCAAAAACAAAGATATTATTTCTTTATTTAATAATTTAATATCCTTACAACTTCTAATATATTATACAAATGTCATTATTTTTATATCACACAATCTAATAGGGGCATTTTTGTCTTTCTTATTATAAACTAATATAATACTAATATTAAAAAATTTACTTGCAAAAATTAAACGGTAACCTTTCTACCGAACGGAAGGTTTATAATTTTTAAATATATATATTTAATACCTGTAGATTACTAATGCGTCTAAGCCTGCATTGTATCTGTAGTTAATTTCACTGATCTTCACATCACCCAACTGTAAAAAACAAAAAACGACCAAATGGATTAGTGAGGTGAATCTGGAGAAGATACATTACAAAAAAATAATATATTTGTAATGGAATTCCGTCCCTAAAGTTCACGTAGCTAACGTAATTTCATTCCTAATTCCGTCTCTAATGTCATTAGTAATGGAAAAAATAGATTTAGAGACAAAAAAATTTTGTTACAAAAATAATTTTTTCTTGTAGTGATAGAAAATGAGTTTGAATCTTTATTTAGGAAGAAAGAATCTTACAATGTCTACAAATTTGTTGAGGCTTCCTCGTTCCTCCGGGAGAGAAGTCATGAGTTTATGTTCCTGTCCTGTCCCGATGTTCGCCATCTCGGCCACGAGCCGGAGGGTGTCGAAATTCATGTTTGCGCCGCTGCAAATAGCGACAACGTTTACGCCCTTGAGTTTATGCGCTCGGCAATACGCATCCGCCCCGGCGATGGACAGAGCTCCCGATGGCTCCAAAATGGTCCTCGTCTCTTCGAACATGTCCTATTATTACAAGGCGAAGCGAGACGAACAAATTGTGTGGTTAGATATATTTTGAAAGTATTTTATAATTTTATGTTGTTTTAGGAATTATAGAAGTTTTGAATGAAAAAAATAAAGGTTTGATGTAATTGAAAGAAACGTTTGAATGCAATATTTTGAATGAAAAATAGTACAGTAAATAGTTGAATTAATAGCAAAGGATATTTAAATTAATGTTGTGATATAATAATTGATAAAGTGCCTTTTTGTCTATTATGGTAAAAATAAAATAAAAATAATAATAATAGTATAATTTCTTATTAAAAAGATAAAAAAAATAAAAGATCTATAAAAATAAAAGAACATAAATGTACATAATACAATTAGCAACATAGCTTTCATAATTTAAAAATTGCATGACTTGTTCGTATTATATTTTAGAATATAATTTTACTGATTTTTCATTTGAATTGACTTAAAAAATAAATAAGAGTCAAATGAAGAAGCAGAAACTAAAAACATAATCAGTTCAATTTTATGTTTGGATGAATAATTATAAATGTAGCTTTTTATAAAAAATTATTTAGATATAATAAAGTTGAAAGTATTTCAAACCGTTAAAATGATCAAATAGTAATGTAAATAATATATTTTATTAAAACTTTCTAATTTATTTAGAATTTTATAAATTATATTTAAAAATTTTAAATTATTTAAACTAACTGACAATATATTTATTAAATTTTATGTATTTATTATATTTGTATTTTTTTATTTTTTATAAAAATAAAAATTAAAAATTTAAATAAATTTAAATAATAGTATTCTACAAATTATTTTAACTTTAAAAACTGTATTTAAAAATATTAAAAATGTACTATATAATTAAATTTTATATTTTTAAATTTTGATATTTTAAATTTAATTAAAATAAAAAATATAAATTAATAATTAAAATATAATTATATTTAAGTTTTATATAAATGAATTATTTTTATTTTACTGTATCTTATTTATTTATTTTAATTAATTAATTAATTATTATTATTATTATTATTATTATTATTATGGCTTTTGCTTTTTCCTAAAGGGCTTTGAGGTGCTTCTCAAAAAGTTTTTGGAATCTAAAAACTGTTTTTATTTTTGAAGAGAAGCCAATATAAATATGAATAAATATTTTTTTAGAAGTAGAAGATAAAAGCATTTTTCAAAAGTTAATCCAAACGGGTCTGAATCCATTGGAAATTAGGTGGTGTTCTATCCTATTTTTTAAAATGTCACAAAACTATTAAAAATAGATTTAATGAATATTTTAGGAAATACTAAAAATTCATATAATTTCTAATTATAAAGGAAAAAAAATACAAAACTTTCTTTCCGAACAAGTGAGTTAACAATTTTATTTATTTTAAATAAAAATACATATTTAATATTTAATATAAGACTATATCATTCCAAATTCAATATATTTTTTTTACTATTTTCGTCATGTCACTTAAAGTATTAATTTTCAATCAGTGTAAAAATAATCATATATAAATATAAAAAATACTCCTAACTTTTATAAAAATATTAATTTTTTTACATTATTTTCTAACCAACTAAAAAAACAAATATATACTTTCCACGTGAGTATATTTTTTTTAAAAATAAATTTTACTCTTTTCAAAAATATATAAATTAAACTTAGTTTTTTTAATAATATATTAAATAAAAAACACATTTTAAATTGCAATATTTTTTAAAATAAAAAATATATCTCAATAAATAATACGAAAACAAAGTTGAAAACATAAGTAACCGCATAAACAACCTTTATGGCTCCGGCAATCGCGTCGCGGGTGACAAGAACGACGCCGTCTAGCAATTCCCGGCACAGCCGGAAATTCTCTTTCCCGACCTGTTTGACGGCGACACCGTCGGCGAAAGTCCCGACGGTGTCGAGCTTCACTCGCTCGTCATACTCGAGAGACACGGCCATGGCGTTGGAGTCGAAAGGCTCGACTCCTATGACCTTTATTTCCGGCGCGAGCGACTTTACGTACGTGGCAATGCCTGAGACAAGGCCGCCGCCGCCAATCGGGACGAAAATTGCATCGATCGGGTCCTTCATTTGCTGCATAATTTCCATCCCGACGGTCCCCTGGCCGGCGATAACGGCGGGGTCATCGTAAGGCGGAATGTAAGTTTTGTGTTCTTCGTCGGCGAATTTTAAGGCTGCATCTTGTGCTTCGTCAAACGAATTCCCAGTACGTTTTACTTGCACATACTCTCCTCCGAAACTAATAACAGCGTCAATCTAAATATCCCAAGAAATTGTAAGAAAAAAAAAAAAAACATCGACTTAATAAAATATTATATTAAATATTTATAAAATATCACATCAAAATATTTAATTTTTTTTTTTTTTAAATTGTTCGAACTATTGATAAGAATTATGTTTGTAATTTGGAGGAGGATTTGATTGGTTGGGTTTTCAAGCATTCGTAATTTTTCCTAATCAAATATTTATTTATTTTTATTTTTTAATATAATCTTAAAAATGAATTTTTACTCAAAATATTAAAAAATATATCCAATTCAAACACTAGCAGAACCAATTTTACAATTTTTTTTAGTTCTATTTGATACCATATAGCAATAGGGTAAAAAAAAACATGAACTTAAAATCGAGGAGCAATTTAACATAATCATATAATTAATTTTATTTTTATATTAATTTTTTGGCAAAATTGTTCATAAGTCCTTGTGATTTCGAAACTCAGCGTAAATTCTCCTTCTACTTTAAAAATTGCATGACGCCCCCTTATACTTTAAAAAATATTGTATGAAACCACTTTGTGATTTTTCGAAACTCAGCATAAATCCCCATTTTATTTTAAAAAATTGCATGACGCTCACTTATACTTTAAAAAATATTGCATAAAACCCCATGTCATGCAAAACATATAGATAGGAAATCATCTTCTTATCACACGAGGAAAGTTTTATGGTGGTAGGATTTCATGCAACGTTTTTTAAAGTATAAGGGGTACCGTACAATTTTTAAAGTATAGAAAGATTTTACGCTGAATTTCGAAACCACATGGGAGTTATAAGCAATTTTACCTAATTTTTTTAAATATATATATATATATATATATAGGGCTGGAGGGAAACTCCAATACAATTTCGTCTCCAAATTTAAAATTTTATTATTTTAAATCCGATGTCCTTGAAGTTAGCAAGGACGGTTATTTATGTTGTGTACTTCGGCCTCCGGTAGACTTCGAGCCAAGACCAACACACAAAGTGCGGCCCAAATTGATTTAATTTATATATATATATATTCACTCCGATTTTAACAAATCTATTCATTTTTCTATTTTAGCCCGTCCTAAAACAAAGTATCAATTTTTTTTTTAAAAAAATATATTACACAAATATTATTATCTTTATATTATACAATACTAATAAAGTTAATTTAGTGTTTTTACTTTTATTTTTACTAATACTAATATTATTATCTTTATTTTTTCTCCTGATAATTCAGTATCCAAAAAATTTCATATAAAAAAACACACCATTAGGCCATCTCCAACCCTCTACTCTATTTTTGCAGCTGCTATAATAAAAATGCAGTGGGTTGGAGATGATCTTAGTTTCCTCGTTTTATTACAATTTGTCAAAGAGATCGAGATTCAACGTTGTCGGGATTTCGGTATTGTTGTCCATAGTCATCCAAAGAAATTTTCCAACTCTTTTTTTTTTTTCGAAATTCGAATTCAGTCCTCAATGAATTTGATCTCTTCATCTTCATTTTCTCACATGGACTTTATATAATATATATATATATATATATTTTAAAAATTGGGTAATTTATTAATTGTCATAATATTAATTGTTTGTACGATGAAGAAGAAATTAATAATGGAAGAAGTATAACCTTAATTTGTGGTGTAGTGATAGGCATAAAAATCCAGGCTTTCCGTTTCAAATTGAATGCAGACAAAGCCACGCCTTGTGCGTGATTCCCTGCTGACGCAGTAACTACGCCATTTTCAATCTGAGATTCTTCGAGATTCGCCATCATATTGTAAGCCCCTCGAAGCTTGAATGAAAACACCTGCATATGGATAACCTACGTCAGAATCGAAAAATCGAATAGCCTGTGTTCTTTTGTAGTTTTTACCGCATATTTTTACTATTTAATTTTTTTTTCTTTAAAAATATCACATCAAATAATTATTTTATTTTATTTTTTTATATATTATACTATAAATTTATTTTAGATTCAAAATATTACATCAACCTCTATTTATATCACATCAAAAACTATTCAAATTCAACTTTTTATTATTCAAAAATCCAAACTCAAAACCTAAAACGGACAAACACACCCTAAGGGTTTCTTTAGATAGAGGTTTTCGGAAATTTGAAAAAAAATAAAAAATATAAAAATATAAAAAATTAGTATTTGATTTGATGTTTTGTGAGAGAAAAAATATATTTGATATGATTTTTTTTAATGAATAGTATCAAATGACTAAAAATGTGTTGTATAAACAAAGCCTAATATTCTTAATTTAATTTAATTGCGTACGGGCTGATTGTCTTCTCTCTTGAGGTACAAATTATACCCCCCTTTTGTTGAAAGCTTCTCAGCTTTCTCTAATGGCGTCCGAACCGCCAAATTGTAAACTTTAGACAGCAGGATCGCCTTCAGATAATCCGTCGGAGTCATATCGCCGTCGCCGTCGCCGCCGTCTGCGGCGGCGGATTTTTGGGAGAGATCGAGAATCAGTCCGTTTGGGTCGTGCGGCAGAGCAGTGGAGGGAAGTGTGATTAACGGCGGATCCTCCTTCTTCTTCGAAGGAGCTGCCACCGCGCGAATGATAGACGCGCGGCGGCGCCGCCCCGCGCCGTCGTCGGAAAATTTTACGGCTGCGTTGAATAGCCTGGCGCCGCCGGGAAACGACTGCGTCGGTGGAGGGCCGAATCGGAGGACGTCCATCACGTGCTGAAAAAGGTTTGGTGGTTTGTTGTGCAGTGAAATTTTCACTGCAAACTTGCCTGTTCTTATAGAGAATATTTGCAGTAAATAAATGGCTAAATTCCACAAAATTTTTACTACCTCTCTGGACACCGTCAATTTATGTATTTGTATTTGACGTCATTGTTTTTAACATTAAAAATATTTTTATATTTGTATAATTTTTTGTACAAATATCATTACATTAATATTATAAGACACCAATAAAAGTATTTTTGACATTTTTTTTTTGATTTGTACTACGTTTTGATATAATAATTAATATTCAAATATTAACATATGAAAAGTAAATGGACAGATTGACGGTGGACGGAGGCAGTACTTGATTTCATAAAATTGCGCCAAATTTTCTGTACTTCTAAAATTGCATGAAACTCTTTCGTGTTTTCATAAATTTTGCTTCTAACCGCTGATGGTCTTTATTTAATGTATTGAATCTAAAAAATAGTAAATATACTCAAAATTAGTTATTAAAAATAAATATATTTGTAATTTTAGGTGTTTAGATATTAAGATTTTAAAATTTATTTAGCGCATTTAGATCAAATTTATTTACATTTTACTAGTGAATTTTGTACAATTTGGCCTAAATAAATAAATAAAACTATTAATATAATATCATTATGTTTATCGTTTCATTATAAAATTATTTCTACTTTTTTATTATTATAACACAAAATATTACTATTTTTTATACTAATACAGATAACAAATCGCATGTAATAATATACTCTACTTTTTATTTATTCTATATATTTTTCTATTTTATCCCTACTAATATAATTAATAAAATCATTAGAAATAAAATAATTAAAAAAATATCAAATATTTTATTACTATTTAAATTAGCAAATAAAGTAGGGTATATGTAGTAATATCTATATTCTAAATATTAAATTTATTATAAAATTTATTTTAGCACTAATTAAAGCAATTTAAAATCATGGCAAAAAAAAAAGTAAATACTTATGAGTTTGTTCATCCGTATTCTTTTTCTATGCTACAATTCTCAATAAATATTATTAAAAATATATTATTTATACAAACTTTAATACAAAATCAATATTCAATATAAAATATTCTCTCCGTTCCGTTGGAAGGGTGATATTTGTTTTTTGGACGTAGATTTTTTAATATTAGTATTACATTAGATTGTAGTAAAAAAGATAAAAAACTACCCCTATTAGTATTGTGTATTATAAAAGTAATGACATTTGTGTAATATATTGTAAGTTGAAAGTGTATTTATTATGTTAGGTAGATAATACAATTATTAAATTAGGAAATGATAACCTTGTTTTGGGACCGACAAAAATAAAAAATGATAACCTTTTAATGGGATGGAGGGAGTATATATATATATTTTATATATTAGTAACATACAATTTTCCCTACATAACATAAATATATTTAGGGTGTGTTTGTTTGGGGATTTGGATTTTGAGTTCAGATTTGAATAATAAAAATTTTGAATTTGAATAGTTGTATGATGTGAGATATAAATATGTATTGATGTGATGTTTTGAATGTAAAATTAATTTTTAATATAATATAAAAAATAAAAAATAGGTGTTTGATTTGATGTTTTTGAGGGAAAAAAATTGGATGAATAGTGGGATTAAAATCCAATCCCCCAAACAAACTCACTATTACAGTAAAAAAAAAACACTTGGGTGTGTTTGTTTGGGAGTTTGGATTTTGAGTTGGGATTTGAATAGTAAAAATTTTGAATTTGAATTGTTGTATGATGGGATATAAATATGTGTTGATGTGATATTTTGAATGTAAATTTGATTTTTAGTATAATATAAAAAATAAAAAATAGGTGTTTGATTTGATATTTTTTGGGGAGAAAAAATTGGATAAATAGTGTAAATCCAATCCAATCCTCCAAAACAAACACACCCAAAGTAAACAAATCTATTATCGTATTAGAAAATAATGTTTGTGTTTGTTGTGTTTTTAAATGAATATTTTTATATTAGATACGAAGAATCATATCATTAGTATAAGGACTAATATTTTATTTAAAGTATTAATCTTTTAATGAATAAATAAAGGCAAAATTGTGCATAACTCTATTGTGGTTTCGAAACTAAGCGTGAATTTCTCTACTTTAAAAATTGCATGGCGCCCCCTTATACTTTAAAAAATGTTGTATGAAACCACAAAGTGGTTTCGAAACTCAGTATAAATTCTCATTTTACTTTAAAAAATTGCATGACGCTCACTTATATTTTAAAAAATATTGCATAAAACCCCCCTGCCATGCAAAATATATAGATAGGAAATCATCTTCTTATCACACGAGGAAAGTTTTATGGTAGTGGGATTTCATGCAACGTTTTTTAAAGTATTAGGGGTACCATACAATTTTTAAAGTACATAGAGATTTTACGCGGAATTTTGAAACCATAGGGGAGTTATAAGCAATTTTACCATAAATAAAATATATTATATTTTTAATAATATTCATTTTAAAGAAAATCGTATTAATATTTTTTTCGTTTCAAATATAATGTCATTTTCTTCATTCTGTCCGTCTTATATCTTATGTTATATATATATATTTTTTGAAAAAGTATTAGGCACTTTAATCATATTGAAAAATATAGATTTTTTAATTTTTAAAATTTTAATTATAATAATTATTTATCTTATTCTGTCATTATTTTTATTATATTATACTATATACGTCCGGTTTTAAGGGTTTCATTTACTTTTTGCGTGTTTATTTTTAAATATTAATTATTATATTAAAATGTAGTACAAATTAAAAAAAAAATTACAAAAATACTTTCATTATTATCCTATAATACTAATAGAGGGACATTTGTACATAAAATTATACAAATATAATGATATTTTTAATATTAAGTACAATGACACAAAAAGTAAATGTGATTCTTAGATGCCGACCATAGAGAGTAATTATTTTTACTAATATATTTTTAATTATTTATTAATTATATTCTTCTAAATTTATATGTGTATAATAACTATGACACCATATCGGAACAAAAAAATAAATAATACTCACTCCGTCCCACATACCATGTCCATATTGCCGTTTCTGTCCGTCCCATATCTAATGTCACTTTCCTTTTTTGGAAAATGATTACCATCTTAATTTTATTTTAAATTTTCTAATTTTAATTTTTTTAAAAATTTTAATTAAACTAATTAGTTATCTTAATCTTAATCTATAATAATTTATATTATAAGTTAATTATTTTTACTAATACATTTTTAATTATCTACTAATTATAATTATCCTAAATTCTCGTGTCTACAGTGACCAAGACACCCAATGTGGGACGGAGGTAGTAGTTGGGTGAAGACATCAAGGGTGTGTTTGTTTGAGAGATTTGGCCAAAAATTTACTATTCATCCAAAACTTTTTCCTCTAAAAATATCACATCAAACATCTATTTTTTATTTTATATATTATTTTAAAAATTAATTTTACATTCAAAATATAATATCAATATCTATTTATATCACATTATACAACTATTTCAATTAAAAAATTTTACTATTTAAATTTCAACTCAAAATCCAAACCTCCAAACAAACACTGCCCAAATGTTTATTTATATTTTAAATTTTATAGAAACTACTATTTTTTCTATAGATATTTATAGTATTCCTTTCGTTTCATAACAAAGTATCCATTTTTTCATTTTAGTCTGTCCATAACAAAATATTCATTTCTTTTTTTTAGTAATTGTATTATTTACCTGACATTCAAATACCCTCACAACTTACAATATATTACACAAATATCATTACCTTTATATCACACATACTAATAAGGTTATTTTAATTATTTCTACTTTATTCCTATTATATCTCAATATAATAGTAATATTTTTAAAACTATGTGCAAAAAGCAAATAGATACTTAGTTTCGGGACGAAGGAAGTATCAAAGTACAACACTATAAGTAGTATAAAATAATTTAATTTCCTCTTCTAGCAACTAATAATAATATTACAACAAACAGGTTGTACAATAATTACAAAGAAGACCCCACCACGTGTTTCTATTTATTTTGTACTTTGGATATTATTCGTGTAATTTTGTACTCTCCGCGTCACCATCCAATGTTTCTTTCTATTTTTCTAGTAAATTTAAAAAGTAATACTCTCTCCGTCTCACGTACCATATCACTTTATTTTTTATAAAAATAATTATACACTTTAATTTTATTTTAAATTTTTAATTTTTTTTAAATTTTAATTAAATTAATTAGTTATCTTAATCTTAATTTATAATTATTTATATTATAAAATAATTATTTTCACTAATACATTATTAATTATCTACTAATTACACCTCTCCTAAAATACCGTGTCTACAATGTAGCAGACACGGTACGTGGGACGGATGGAGTATTATTCTTTTTATCGTAAGATAATATATATGATATTTAAGGTAATTATATTTATTTAATTAATAATATTAAATTATGATAATATTTTATTATATTTTATATAATTAATTATATTGATATTTTTAGAATAAATTTACATATTTTAATTATTATATTGCAATAAAAAATATACAGTATGCAATATGAACATAATTTTATAGAGAATAAATTTTTTTATAATATATAAAAATAAAAAGATAGTTTTATTTAAATGTGTCAATTAAGATGAGATTGAGAGAGGTGCATTTGATTTGTTTTGTATTTTGATTTTTTTTTTCATGTGAAGAATAAAAAATCGTGTAGGTAATATAAAAATAAAGAATAGGTTTAATATATTAATTTTTCTGAAGAAAATATGTTAAAAATATTTATTAAAAGAATAATATAAAATATAAAATAATTTTGATATTTTTAATTTGTGTATTTTATATTATATGTAATTATATATTTATAGTTTAGGTAAAAAAACTAAAAAGATATTTAAATATTACTGTATAATAACTTCTATTATAATAAAAAATATTTATTTTTAAATAAAATTGACAAAAATACTAAATATAAAAAGCATTTTCAATTAAAATAGAGAGGGTGTATATTTACATAAATTTCATGTAATAATCTTGACCGACTTATAGTCATTTTCTTGTCTGTATTGAGTTTGAAAGCTGTATTTTTATTTAAATAGTATTCTTTGATATAATATTTTATAAAAAAATAAGTTCTCAGTTTTATTTTAAAATATATACTCTCTCCGTCCCGGTGCAAAGTTGCCGTTTACTTTTTGTACGTAAATTTTTGAATATTTGTATTATAATGGGTTGTAGTGAAAAAGACGAAAATGCCCCTATTATTATTGTGTAATATAAAAGTAATGGCAATTATGTAATATAGTGTAAGTTGGAAGGATATTTATTATGTTAGATATATAGTACAATTACTAAATTAGAAAATAGTAACCTTGTTTTGGGACGGACGAAAATGAAAAATGACAACATTTCGATGGGGTGGAAGGAGTATATTTTTTTTTAGGTTTTTATAATAAATTAAAAAATAATAATAGTATTTTATTAGTTAATTAAAATATGTAAAATAATTTAATATTTTTATTTTCTATATTTTATGTATAAATTAATTGTATATATAATGATATATTTGAAATTTATGTAAAATTTAATAATATTTTAGTATAATTAGTGTACAGTACTATTACAAAAAAAAAAAAAAAAAACACAGTTCTTTTGAATAAGAGAGAGAAAATGGTAAAAAAAAAATGGTATTTTTAATTGAAACAACAAAAAAAATGTACTTCCTCAATCCCCTAAGTAGTAGGTATATCTATTTGCTTTCTGCATTAAGTTTAAAATATATTAGTATTATATATTAATATTTCATCCGTCTCATATTTATCTATCCGTTTGCTTTTCACATGAAGTTTTAGAAATATTAGTCTTATATTGAGATGTAGTAGAAATAAAAGTAAAAAAAACTAAATTAACCTTATTAGTATTGATATATTGTAAATTGAAAGAGTATTTGTAATAGTAGGTAGATAGTATGGTTACTAAAAAAAATGGATACGTTGTATGAGACGGACCAAAATGAAAAAATGGATAAATTGTTATGGAACGGAGGGAGTATGCAGTAAGAATAAATTATAAAAGACTAAAATAACCTATTAATATTATGTGATATAAAGATAATGACATTTGTGTAATATATTATAAGTTGTAAGAGTATTTGTAATATTAAGTATATAATATAGTTAATAAAAAATAAAATAGATACTTTATTAGAGGATGAACCAAAATGAAAAACTAATAATTTGTTAAGAAACGAATGGAGTATTATTTTTTTTAAAAAAAATGGAGTTCCAATAGTAAAAATTGTGAAATAAAAAATAAAATAAAATTACTCAATTGTGCAAGATCTAATATACAATTAGAAAAATTAATTTAAAATAAGTGTTATGTTCATTTTGATTTATTTTTTTTGATTTAAATAAAATTTTGATAAGTGATTGGTCAATTATTATTTGAGTTTATAGTTTTTTTAGAGACAAATTATTATTTGATTTTTACAAAAATTATAAAAATAAGTGATTGATCAATTATTTATTTATTTTTATGTTATTCAAAAAAATTATTTAAATATTTTTATTTGTATAAAATTAGAGTAATTTGAGTCTTTATTTAGAAAAAAAAACATCAGTACGTTTAGACAATGAGGATATTTCGTGCACACTCACGCAATAAATAAAATATAAGATGTTTTGTGCATATTTATTAAAACACAATGGGTGTTACATAATTTACCCGTAAATATATATATACAATTTTATAATAAATGATTTTTTTGTTCTTCCTTTTTTTTTTCAAATATGTAACTTGAGTTTTTTAAACAGTATGTAAATAAACAAAGTCTTTAGCAAATAAAATTAATCTCAAAAAATTGTTTTATTTTCTACAAAGATAATTGATTTCATCAACTATTCATCATAACTCATCTCTACAAAGATTCATCTAAAGGATGACTTAGACAAACTATTATTATCTCTGTCACAATACAATAGTCTTATTTACCATTTTTGTTCGTCTCAAAACAATAGTTTTATTTTCATAAATAACCATATAACTATAAAACTATTCATAATTTTTTATTATTATTACATAATTGCTACTACTTTTTACACTAATACACTCATAAGAACAAAAAAATCTTTTGCCCGTACTTTTTACTCACTACTAATATAATATCGATTTTCTTTAAATCTCGTGTCAAATACAACCCAAACTATAATTATGGGACGGAGGGAGTATTTGATTATAATTATGATGAGATCTAATATCGCCAAGAAGCACCATTCTTGAGACTATCTCTAAAATTATTATCTTTCTAATTGAAGAGACATTTAAGATGGAATTTTCTATATCAATGAAATTATATAAAGGGTGTTATATGTATGGTTCGTATAGTAATTTGTATGCGATTTGTTATAAAGAAAAATAATATTCCCTCTGTCCCATAAAAATATAGTTTTAATTGGGTTGGACATGAGATTTAAGGATTATTGATAGTTGTAAAAAATATAGATAAAAGATTTTTTTGCCTTTGCGAATGTATTAGTGTAAAAAGTAGTGACAATTAGGGATGTCAAATGGGGCGGGTTAGCCCCGGATCCGCTCTTAATGAGGCGGGTTCGGGTCTAAATAATATGTTTCAGGGCGGGTTGTGGATTTAAAATTTTAAACCCGGCCGGGTTCGAGACGGGTTACGGGTTTTACTAAAAACCCGCCCCAACCCGGATCCGAACCCGGATATTTTTTAAAATTATTATAACAAATATATATGTACATTTATATAATAAAAATATATTATTTATTTACTTAAATAATTTTAAATATAAAATTCAATCGCGTGCTCCAAAATAATTTTTTAAAATTATTATACCTAATATATGTATATTTATATAATAAAAATATATTATTTATTTATTTATCTTATTTTTATGGATCAATATTTGATTGTTTTTAGACTTTTTTTTTTTGCTTTTAATGCTATTTGTTTTAATATTCGATTATTAAAAAAATATTTATTATTATATATTTTTTTAAAAAACGGGTTTGCCGGGTTGGCCCCGGGGCGGGTCCTGGGGCCGGGTGGAAGCAGGGCGGGGCGGGTCTCGGAGCCTAATATTTTCTAGCGGGGCGGGTCTCGGGGCCTGCAGAACCCGTTCCGAACCCGCCCCTTTGACATCCTCAGTGGCAATTGTGTAATAAAAATGAAAAAGTAGGGGTTGTTTTATGTTGATATGATTATTTATGGAAATAAAACTATTGTTTTTTTACAAACAAAAATAGTAAACAAAACTATTGTATTGAAACGGAGGGAGTATATTTTTATGAAAATGGTAAAAAATGGCAATAAACTATAAAAGGAGCACACCCTTTGCTTCCTAATATACAGTGAAAATTAAGGATGTGTTCGTTTGTTGAATTTTATAAAAGATTTATTATTAATTCTATTTTTTTAAAAAAAAATATCAAATTAAACACTTATTTTTTTTATATTATATTAAAAATTAATTTTATATTCAAAACATCACATCAACACGTAATACGATTATTTCAATTTAAATTTTTTACTATTCAAATTCTGACTCATAATTCAAACCTCCAAACAAACACACCTTGAAGTATTATTTTGCTTAAAATTTTAGTTTATATGTGATATTCTTTAAGAATGGTTATTGTATTTCTATTGAAAGTGATATTTGAATTAAATATGATAAATAAAGTGTGTGTATAAGCCTAAGATCAGAACTTTAATATATAATTCCTTATTATTAACTTTCTTTCAACACCTAATTAATAATTAATGAATTTCAGCGCATAAGAGATCCGTACTTATAAAATATATTGTAAATCCAACAAATTTAATAGATTCAAGTTTAATTTGAATAGTAGAAACAAGTTATACTTAATGCATAATTGGATTTTTGATCCAATATTTCGATCAAGCAAACGGACAGTTCGTCACGACTATTGAGAAATTATTCATTACATTAGATCATCGTAACAATAGGTAGCATTACAACATCGGACATGTCCAAAGTACTACAGCAAAAATGATGTTTTCTGCTGTCTCCAAAGAACATATACAAATCTCGAAGTTGCAACATTATTAGACATACGACGGGATAGTAATTATTCGGTCACACCCGAGCATCGGATAACATGGGATTATTATTGTATTAGACAAGTCTACGCCACGTGTAAGCGAGGTTGCCCCGTCATCATCACCATCTTAATTTCGGGAGCAAACCCACCGCTCCTTTTAAAAGCTTGGTAGCTGTTTTTCCGGATTCTCTTACAACCCCGGAGACAGCATTGCCGGATTCTTTTACAACCTCGGAAGCAGCATCACCCGTTGCCTTCACAAACTTGACAGCAATGTTGTCGCTTTCATCTTGAACCGGGTACCCAGTTTCCTTTAACTTTTCGTACAATTTCGCCTTCTCATTTTCATTAACTTCGACGCCCACGGCCACAAATCCTTGGAAGTCTCCCTGGATTAAAAAATAAAATAAAAATACAGATATCAGTGACGGAGTCAGAATTTTCAAATTGAAGATTAGAATTTGTAAGACAAAAGATCGGAGGCAGACAACATTAAAAATGTGTAAAATATATGGAATCACTAGTACAAGGATCACAACCTTTGATCGGAAGTCTAGTGATGTAACATTGTACCCCGGGGGAAATCCATCGAGCATTTTCTTAAGCGCCCCCGGTTTTTCGGGGAGAGCAAACTTGAAGATATGCTCGTTCTTGAGCAGTTGCCCGCCCCCCTGCCGAGGAAACAATGTAACAATTAAGATCCGTGATCGGTAAATATGTCTGAAATAAATATGTAAGAAATAATATTATTAATAATAATTTTAAAAAATAATAATTGTCCAAATCTTACATATACGTTGTTCAAATGATCTTTGGCAAATTGGTTATCATTAATCACCATTGTAGGCATATCCTTTGCCTTCAGGTTGTTAATAACGTAGGAAAGTTGTTCTTCCGACATTGAATCCACACTGTAAGAAACAAGTTTTGACGTGTGAGATGATCATTTAATATGGTATCAGAGACGTACGTTAATTTTTCACTTGCCTGTATGTTACTACGTTGTGGGGCAAACCTCCATTGGATCTGTAGCTGATTTCACTAATGTTCACATCACTCAACTGCAAAAAAATCGAATTGATTAATCAGGTTTGTGCTTATTATTTGTAAGTTTTGTATTCAATATCTATTATCTAAAAAAAAAAAAAAATCTAAACATATCAAACTAAATATTTAATTTTTATTTTTATATTATACTAAAAATTAATTTTATATTAAAAATATCGTATTAATATCCATCAAAGCGGTTAGGGTGTTTGTTGATTTAACTCAATCAGCATGTATAATTAAGACAAAAACGTATATCTCAGCATATCATATAAAATAATTATTCGGATTCAAATAATTCAAACTCAAAATTCAATTATAAAATCTATTACCAAACAAACTCAAGAATCCAAATATATAATGCTTGTGTATGTTTCAAACTGAAAATATAATTTTTTATAGACTCCCTTGTCCCTAACAAAGTATAAATTTTTTGTTTTTAGTAATTGTACTATCTGCGTAATATTACAAATATCATTCCAATTTATAATATATTTCACAAATATCATTATCTTTCTATTATACGATACTAATAAGATTAGTTTAGTCTTTTTATTTTTATTTCTACTACATCTCATTATAATACTAAGATTTCTAAAATTTCATGCAAAAAGCAAATGAATAGATAGATATGGGACGGAGGCTTACAATGTCGACAAGTTCCTTCAAGCTTTTTTGATCCTCCGAAAGAGACGTCATGAGACGCTGTTCTTGGCCTGTACCGATATTCGCAATCTCCGCCACCAGCCGCAGCGTGTCGAAATTCATGTTTGCGCCGCTCGTTACAGCGATGACGTTGACGTTCGTCAGATTATGCGCTCGGCAATAGGCATCAGCTCCGGCGATAGACAGAGCTCCCGACGGCTCCAAAATGCACCTCGTCTCCTCGAACATGTCCTATTATTACAAATTGCGGACTTTAGATATGTTTCTTTCTCAATGGAATAATTCTCTATAAATGTTATTTAAAAAATACAAATATATACACATTAAAATAATATATATATCATCCACTCATAAAAAATCAACAATTCAACACAAAATATTATTTTTTATATTAACAATACAGTTTTTGTACCACATACGAAAAAATCAATTCATCTAAAAGTACCGGTGAGCAGAGACAAAATATTTTAAATAACAAATTTATTTAAAGAGAGACTTTTTACTTTTTTACTGTAAGAATATTTAAGCTAGCAAATAAGTCACACAGATAGACAAAATTTTATATCAGTAAGCCACCTATTAGGAGTTTTTTTGATAAATTATACGAAAATAAAATTGAAAACAGAAGTGAAGGAAATAGAAATGATTTTTTTATTTAAAAAAAATGATTTAATATTTTAAATAAAAATTATATATTTAAAGAGATTTTTTTTTAAAAAAAATAATTGATAGTAATACGAAAACAAAGTTAAAATTATAAGTAAACAGAGATATTCTCTTACCGACCTTTATGGCTCCGGCGATGGCGTCGCGGGTGACGAGAACGACCCCGTCTAGCAGTTCCTGGCAGAGTCGGAAATTCTCCTTGCCGACGAGCTTGACTGCGACGCCGTCGGCGAAAGTCCCGACAGTCTCGAGCTCGACACGGTGGCCGACCTCGAGAGACAAAGACATGGAATTGGCGTCGAAAGGCTCGACTCCTATGACCTTAACATCCGGCAATAGTGTCTTGACATAGACAGCTATGCCGGCTGAAAGGCCGCCGCCGCCAATGGGCACGAATATGGCGTGGATTGGGTCCTTCATTTGCTGAATAATTTCCATTCCGACGGTCCCTTGGCCGGCGATGATGTCGGGATGATCGAACGGAGGAATGAACGGTATGTTGTCCGCTTCCGAGACCTCAATCGCCTTAGCCTGAGCTTCGTCGAAAGAATCTCCCCAAGGTACGACTTCTCCTCCGAGATCCCTTACGGCGTCCATCTAAACACCCGTATGATTTGTAACAATTTGTTCTTTTGTAATTTCAAATTGAAATCAATACTGTTTATTTAACTAAACAAGTCTTTTGGTCAGCAAGTCAACAGTTGGCTAAATTAAATTGAGAGAACAATATATCTCTTCCGTCATTTAAATTTATATTTATTTTTTTATTTTGAGTTATCATTAAAAATAAAAAAATAAAAAATACTATCTTCATCTCATTTCAGTTGTCTCAGTTTTATCTTTATTTTTTGTCCATTTCACTTCAATTGGCGTATTTTTTATTTTTAGTAAAAATTACTAAATCTATACATATTTAACAAATATAAATCAATTTAATTAATTTAATAATACATATAACATAATAGATTACGGTAGGATCCACTCAAAGTATTTTTATTTTTATTATCTCTTATCAATAAACAAATATTTTTATGTATATTTAAAAATTTCTACTTTTTTTTTTTATAAAATTAGTTTTATCTTAATTATAAATTAATAAACATATATTTTTTTTACTAAAATAATAATCATAATAATAATTACTCATTTTTTTATTAAAACTTATACTCAAACATTTGAGCAAATAAACAAAATTTGACAATTTTGAATTGAAACTATAACCAAAGTTGATATAAGTAGATAAATATGATGTGATTTTTTTAAAAAAAATTATTGTTAATAAATAAATTTAAAAATAGATAAATGTAACCTTAATTTGTGGTGTATTGGTAGGCATATAAATGGTGGACTTGACACCCAAATCAGTGGCAGATTTAGCGACGCCTTGTGCGTGATTCCCAGCCGACGCCGTTATTACACCTGTTTGAAGCAGCTCATTCAGTGGAAGCTTCGAGATCATATTATAAGCCCCTCGAATCTTGAACGAAAACACCTGCAAATGGATACATACATACATAGATAACCTACGTCAGAATCGAAAATCGAAGCTTTGTTTAGACCGGGATTTTTGAAATTTTGAAAATTTTAAAAAAATAAAAAATTAATATTTCATTTATCAAAAAGTATATATATTTTTATTTTGAAAAGTTTAATTACAAAGTAACATTTTATTAAATATATATTATATTATTATTTTTACGCGAAAAAACAAGGCAAAAAATATTTTTACACTATTTTTAACTATCCACTATAATTAAAATATTATTATTTTTTAAACACAACGTCAAAAGTAATTGTATATTTTTAGCGTGGACGAATGAACTATTTGATTCAATTTTTTGTGAGAAAAAAAATTGTATTTAATGTGATATTTTTTTAAAAATGAATAGTGTCAAATGAACGATAGCCGCGTAAACAAAGCATTATTAATTTAATTTAATTTAATTTTAATTTAATTACGTACGGGCTGAGTGTCTTCTCTCTTGAGATACAAATTGTATCCCCTTTTCGACAGCTTCTCAGCTTTCGTTAATGGCGTCCGAACGGCCACGTTGTACACATTCGACAGCAGAATCTCCCTCATGTACTTCTCCGCCGTCATAACGTCGTCGGCGCCGCCGTCGGGGGTGGCGGCGGCGGCGGCGGCGGATGATCTGTTGCTGAGATCGATAATCAGACCGTTGGGGTGGTGTCCTAAAGCGTTCGCCGGAAGTGTGATGACCGGCGACTCCTCCTTCGCCGCCGAAGGAGCCGCCACCGCGGAAATTCTTGACGCCCGGCGGCGGTGGCCGTCGGAAGATTTTACGGCGGCGGCGCCGCCGAGAAATGACTGGGCCGAAGGAGCGCCGAAACGGAGGATTTCCATCACGTGGTGGAATTGGTGTGATTTTGAGTGCAGATTTTGGCGATTCTTATAGAGATGTGTCCGTAGATCGTTTTGTTTCCATTTTTTTGTCAATATCGAGGAATTAAATTTTTTTACCTCGTTTTTTTTTTTTTTAATGTTATTTATTGTTCGATTGTTTGTTGTCTTTTTTTTCTTTTTTGGAATGTTTTGATGATGCGTTGGATTTGAAAATCGTTCGTTGAAAATTTAAGATGTGTTTATTTGTAACATTATGGTTTTTTATTTTAATTTTAAATACTTCCGCCGTCTCATAACAAAGTATCTATTTTTTCAAGTTAGTCCGTCTCATAACAAAATATTCATTTTTTTTTAGTAACTGTACTATCTATCTAACATTACAAATATCCTTACAACTTACAATATATTACACAGTCATTACCTTTATATCACACATACTAATAAAGTTATTTTAGTCATTTTTAATAATATTAATATTTCTAAAATTACGTGCAAAAAACAAATGAATATTTAGTTATGGGACGGAGGGAGTACTGTAATTTTGAATTGAAATAATTGTTTAATGTGATATAAATATATATTGATGTGATGTTTTGAATATAAAATTAGATTTTAATATAATAAAATAAATAAGAAATGGATATCTGATTTGATATTTTTTGAAAAAAAAAATTAAAATAGTAAAATTAGGATATAATCATCCAAGTAAACAGAGCCTTAATCTATTTATTTAATCACATTTTAAGTTTTTTTTTGTTTTTTTTATCATGGTTAATAATAATATTCATTAAAAATTTAAGACATAATTTTAAACAGATTTGAATTATTTGTAAAATAATAAAAATAGAAAATAGAAAATAAGTATTATTGTTAAGTTATGTGTTCTTCGAATTTTATTTTTTTTATTAATATGCAACTATAAAATATTAGTTATAAGCTATTATTAAAAATAAAATCAAATTAAAAAGAAAAAATACATTCATGGTAGTTGTTAGTGTGTTTAGTATATTTTATTTAAATCTATAAAAGTTCTATAAAAAAGATTATATAATTTTAATATATAATAAGAGGAAGAATTTTGTATACTTTTTTTGTTAATATAAAGTAAATTATATTATAAATTTGGGTAAACTGATTCTTTTAGTCCCGTAACTGAACCCCTTATCATTTTAGTCCCGTAAGTGAAGTATGTCACAAACTAGTCCCATAAGTGAAAAATTTTCGTTGTTTTAGTCCTCCGGCGCCGGAGATGCCCGCGTGGCTTGCCGGAGGTGACATGTCCGCCAGGTGTCGCTGACTTGGCGGACACGTGGATTTTTTTTTTTCATTTTTAATTTTTTTTAAAACTTATTTTTAATTTATTTTTAATTTTATTTGTATTTTTTTATTATTTGGTCCAATTAAAAAAAATAAAAAAATTAAAAAAATGAAAAATAAAATAAATCTACGTGTCCGCCAGGTGTCGCTGACCTGGCGGGACACCTGGCAGACATGTCACCTCCGGCGAGCACGCGGGCGTCTCCGGCGCCGGAGGACTAAAACAACGAAATTTTTTCACTTATGAGATTAGTTTGCGATAGGCTCCACTTACAAAACTAAAATGATAAAGGAGTCCAGTTACGGGACTAAAAAACAGTTTACCCTATAAATTTATATAACTTGTATTTTATATTAATATAACGATACAAATATATGTGTATCTTATCATGTCTAATTATAGAAGGTATATAGTGAATTTCATTGTTGAAAAATAAATTATTATTTGGCAATAAGTTGAAATATATTTATTTGATTAAAATTGAATTTAAAATATTTAAAATATTTTAAAAATTATATTATAATAAACTATATTTTATATGAGCGTCATTTCACGAAGAATTAAATATAATATAATACGTATAAATATTTATATAATTACCATAAATTAGTTCATAAAAAATAAAAATATTTAATAATATACCTATTATTTTAAGAAAGAGATAGAATTAAAAATGAGAGATTATAGGCGAATTCCACCTAAAGATAAATAAATACTCCGTAATTGCAATATCTATAGTTGTTTGATTGGCAAAAATGTAAGAAATAATAATATTTTTATATAAAAATATAATAGGTAAAGATAAAGTTGAACTATTATGAAAATATTATTATTATTATTATTATTATTATTATTATTATTATTTAGGTGTCGGTATATATTTTTTCTTTTTGTTATAATAATAATAATAATACTCCCTCCGTCCCATGATAAAGTATTCATTTTTTTCATTTTAGTTTGTTCTATAACAAAGTGTCTATTTTTCTTTTTAGTAACTGTACTATCTACCTAACATTACAAATACCCTTACAACTTATAATATATCATGCAAAAATTTCATTACTTTTATATCACACATTACTAATAAAGTTATTTTAATCGTTTTTACCTTATTCCTACTACATCCTAATATAATATTAATATTTCTAAACTTCGTGAAAAAACAAATGATTACGTAGTTATGAGTTTGCATCACTTAAGAAGTTTTCCAGACAATTTAAGCTATTATTCCAAATTTTGATATTTTTGACTGTTTGTATAAAATAATTGTATGTGTAATGGTATGTTTATAATTTAAGTAAAACTTAGGGTTGTTTGGTTCAACGAGTTTTTTAAGGGGATTAGGATTTTGCAGTAGATTTACATGTGATATGATTTATTGTATTTAGGATTTGGAATCCTATCATGTGTTTGGTTGGAACTGTTTGGTTCAAGGATTTTTATTTTTGATATTTTAAATGACGTAATTATCATTCACGAGTTTTATTTATTGTAATAAATTAAACTTTACATCCATTTTTTTTCCGTAAATTTTATTTTTTACTATATTTAGTGTATTCTAATAAAATAAAATTTAATACGATTTTCGATTAATAATAAAAGATATAATATATATATTCATACAAAATATATATTGTAATATATAATCTATACACTAAAAAATACGATAATTTAATTATTTTTTATACTATCGACATTCTTTTTCATATTTAATATAAAAAAACACTTTAAACTAAAAATACAAAATTAATACACTAGTAAAATAAATTTAAATTATTAATTTATTTAAATTATCATTAGTAAAATAATTAAATATAAATAACATTAATAATTATAAATAAATATATGATTTGTAGTAGTATGCTTAAATATAATATTATATTTTATAAAATCAATAAAATATAATTTAAATGTAAATATATATACATTTAATATTAAAAAAAAAAAGAAATCTGGTTTTATTTTTATGGAATGGTATAATAGTAAAATGTAAAATGCAATTATATGAAATTTTAAAGTAACAGGGGTACACTGAAAAATTTTGCATTTGCAGAATTTTAAAATCTCATGCAATTAAAATTTCATCATCAATTTTATAACCAAATATGGATTCATTAGGATTTTAAAATCCAAATCCCATGGAATCCCACCAAATCCACGAACCAAACAACCCCTAAGGGTATTTTGGTATTAGCGTAGGATTACATTTTCTAAAATATGAAATAAATACTTTGAAATATGATAGACGAAAATAATAAAAAAATACTTTGAATTAGGATGAATGGAGTATAAGATAAACTATGTCCTAGTCCATTTATTAAGAGACAATTGTATATAAATAGGTGTGTAGTTGTTATTTGTGTTATCATAGACTAAAACATCGGAATGGTTACCTTAAAGGAAAATATCGAGATGTTTGTTGACTTACTACTCGAAGTGTCAAACATGTCAACTAAAGAGATACTCCATTCGTCCCAGATACCATGTTCACGTTGCCGTTTTTGTCCGCCCCATATACCATGTTATTTTCATTTTTTGGAAAATGATTACACACTTTAATCTCATTTTAAATTTTTTTAATGTTATTTTTTTTAAAATTTTAATAAAATTAATTAGTTATTTTAATCTTAATTTATAATTATTTATATTATAGGATAATTATTTTCACTAATACATTCTTAATTATCTATTAATTGCACATCTCCTAAAATACAGTGTCTACGGTATCTGAGACGGAGGGAGTATTATTCATTTTCGTCGGATGGTCGTTTCAAAGAAGTTACTAGCGAATTGACCTTCCTAATTAACGTGGCAATAGACGAGTCTTTCTTACTCGAAAATTCATTTAAAAATAATAAGAAAAAAAAAAAAACTAAAACAAGCTCCATTTAAAATATAATTTTAAAAAAATATTATATATTATTTTTGTTTACTCGAAAATTATTTTTTTTTTCATTTTCAATCAAGTTCATAATATGACAGTAAAAAATAATAAAAAAATACATTTAGTTAAACGAATGAGTACTAATTATAATATTTCCTTGACCCGCGAGCTAATCCGCCTCACTGCGGGCTAACGGCACCCTCACCCCGCGGCCCATGCGAATTGGCCCATTTAGGCTCGCATTTTAACGGACTTAAAAAATCACAATCCAATCCTCATTAAAAAGAAGACTGGGCGAGCCGATCTGATGAGCTCAACCCATTTTGACGGCTCTAATATGGGTTGACGGCTCTAATATAATATAATAGAATAGTATAAAATTTATTTCACCTTTCACATTATTTAGATTAAAAGAATAAGAACAATAAAGCAAGCTATATGTTTTAATTACGAGATACTTTTACTTAAAAAAAATAATTGATATATTTAAGTTTAATAGACGAAAATAACAAAATAAATATTTTTCATTCGAAGATTAATACTGGACAATGACATGAGCACAATTCACAATTCTTTCAATTCGCTGAATTTTAAGAATTTTTATAATTAAAAGAATATTATTTTTACGGATAATTATACGTTTTCTATAGAAAATACTCCTTTCGTCCATTTTCTAATGTCCTATTTGATTTTTACACACATTTTTAGGCAATTAAGGTTTTTGTTATAAAATGACAAATTTGCCCTTAATCTTGTGTATAGAAAATGAAAGAGTAAATAAAGTAAGGATAAAAGAGTAAATTTTGTGTATAAAAAATAAAA